GTACAGGCATTTTACGTGAAATTTATGTACCCTCTCGAAGAGAAGCAAGAACGAAGCGCGCAGAGTCGACGATCGGACACGCTGTTGCACACTGGTGCTCGTCATTAGAGGGATAATGCATATCTTAATGATTACGAAACGAAACACTGACACGAGGCTGGATACGTAAGTGCGCGCCGGTGAATGGCGACGGGTCCTCTCGCCGACTCAGACCATCCACAATCTTGTAACCGTCCCACGCTCCTGCAATCAGCTCCCCATAAACTACAATCACGACACGTGCTACCCCTCCGGTGTGTATCCTGTGCTCCCTGTAAACAGGCGATAGATGCGAAGGATTAAATCCCCTGGCGAGATGAATTCAGGGAACGCTCGAGCGTGGAGCAAGGATGCTGACGGTGCGGCGAGTAATTAATTGTGATCTAGTAGAATTTCAATAATGTAATCAAATATTTTCATACCAATCGAGAATTGCATTATACCTTCGCGATGTTTCAAATTATTCGCGTTTGCTTGATTTCAGAGGAAGTTTCGAAGTAGATACGAAAACTATGAGAACAAAGTTCTTAAAATTTTTAGTGTACCTACTTTGGTTAACAGTTCAAGTTCCTTAGAGATTGCAAGAGAACGTCGTCGATTCGTAAATTTCAAATAATTAGGACACTAAACAGTCGTTACGAAATTAATCAGCTTCGAATCTCGTAATTTAACCTTTTAACTGCAGACAGAGTCACGAGTCTAAATTTTTATTTCACTATCGTTACATTTTTCAAACTTTAGAAAAAATAATTTCCACACTTTTACCAAAGATCAATTAAGTTTCGTTATTCCAAATTTATAAAAATATTAATAAAATCAACTTCGTCTTCACGAATAATAGTAATGCTAATTGAACAAATGTTCCACAGGTGCAGAAGTATTCTTCGTGGATACTTCGAATGCAAAATTATGTAAGAAATTTCTTAATGAACAAAAACTGCTTGATATTAATACATTAGTGTTCGAGGATAATAAATTTTTGTCACGAATGTAACTATAGATTTTTATTACTATTGAATATTAATGCATATTGCACTTGGTTACATTTTTACGTCACTATAGAGGCAGGTATTAAATAGCGTTTCGACATTCGTTTAATTCTTCAACCTGTGTTGGGGTAATTTTATGCTGTAGATTCTATAATTACGATACTTAAACTGCAGATCACCACCCGCCTCATTAAATCCTCGATAAAACCAGCTGTGTATATGTATAACGATGGCAAAATATTGCTTCACTTCTAAACGGACACAATTACTGTGAATGTCACGAACAAACATTAACCGCTTGAAATTAGTTTCACTTTCATATATTTATTTTAACATCTTCTATTAATTACTGAAATATTTCATTTTCTTCTCTTTTTTCAAAGTTTATTTCACACACTATTAGCTTTGTTTCTTTTTCATTCTGCTCAAACATTAACCGAATAAAATTAGTTTCACTTTTATATATTTTAGCATTTCATATTAAATACTGAAATATTTAATTTTGTTTCCTTTTTTTTTTTTTCAAGTTTATTTTCCACACTATTAGCTTTGCTTCTTTTTTATTCTGTTGAAAGATTAACCGCTTAAAATTAATTTCACTTTTATATTAAATATTGAAATATCGAATACAGTTTTGTTTCCTCTTTCGAAATTTATTTTCCACGCTGTTAGCTTTGTTTCTTTTTTATTCTGTTCAGACGTTGACCGCTTAAAATTAATTTCACTTTGATATATTTTAACATTTCATATTGAATAGGCCTGAAATATCGAATACAGTCTTATTTCCTTTTTCCCGAAGTTTCTTTTCCACACAATTAGCTTCGTTTCTTTCTTATCCTGTTTCAAAGTCGTGACGAAATAACTTGCAAACTTCTCTCTAATTTAATTATATTTAGTCTTACTTCGCTAATTGATCTCGCGGCCGATAAATAATCGAGCGTTAAATCGAGCTATTGTCACGTCACGTGTATTGATACGCTATTAGCAGGACAATATTAATGAAGACTCGAATGAAAATAAAGTTGTAAAATAGCTGGGCAGAAGGTTCTCGTGTTAACGTGGTTGGTGGGGTCTATTGTGTTGGATTATGACGCTCGTCTGGACGATTCCAGCTTGCTTTTCGGCTAATCTCCAAGGTGATTGCACGCGAATCAGAGAAGATGCCTTTGTCGCAGCGGGGAATCACCTCGAAGCATTTAATGCTAAAAGGAAGGATGAAGAAGATTGATCGTTGACGAGTTCAAATATGTCACGTGATCCTTTCAAATTTGTACTAGCCTTTGTATCAGATCAAAGAGTTGCAAGAAACTGTGAAAAAAAGTTCAGTCCGTGGGTCACTTTTTAAATGTTCTGTAATAAAAATGTAATAAATTGTAGGTATAGCGTATTCGTTTGAACCAGACACACATTCGTATTTCATAGAGGCAACCACGAGTTAATAAGAATTTAATGAAGATCTGCAAAAAGAAGTGCAAAAAGTTCCTTAATAAAAATACATTTCGTCGAGCGAAACGTGGAGCTATTTAAATCTCTGCGGTAAAGAGTTACGTCGTAATCGTGCGTTATTTCATCTTGCACCGAGAAATTGTGCAAAATAAAATGTGCAAGATACGAAGAAACAAGTCCAACTTAAAATGCACAAGTAAAGTTAACAATTAAGGGATTAAAATAATTTTCGCGCAATTAATTTCAAGCAGAACACCTGTTGCATCAAAATACTAACGAAACGCTATATCTATATCGTTGTTTTCTCAATTAATCTTGAAAATGTAAATTTTGTATTCCGACATTGAATACAACCAACATAAAATGTTGCAGCAAAAAATTCATTTGACTTTAGAACGTACTTAAAGTATCTTAAATAGGTTACTATAGAATATTTTAGAACGTACAATCTTTATTTCTTTATCGATCGTTGTGATATTTAGTTTCTCGTTTTATAGACAATTGGCTCGTGAAAATGATTCACTGAAAGATCGTAGCATGTCTTGTCGACGCGTTGCAAAAATCAATTCTTCGATTGTGCTTAATTAGAATTTCATATTCAAGTATTCCTAAAATGCCTACTATGCACCGTACAATTTGACAAAATTTAGAAGAAGAAAAATGAAGAATTACTGATGAATTTCTTTGAAGATAGATACGAAGAAAGGCGAGAAATTTTGGGTTAAATTCGATCGACAAAACGACGAACAATCGATCGTCCGGATTCCGCGATTCAATTAAACGCACGATTACTCGGTAAACGTAATTAATTTCAATTAACGACGCGATTAAAATCACGGATGCAAAGGTGAGTGTGTGTGAAACAGACATTTCTGAACTTTATACGATCTCATTGATCGGATCACGCGATGCAGCTTTTATCAGGATTATATTGTCGGGTTTCGTGATAAATATCCTCGATGTTGAGGAATCCGAAGCTTCAGCCAACTAAATGGAAGTGGAAGTGATTCGTTTTTCAGTTAATTCGTGCAGTATTCTATCAGTAGATTGAAAAATTGCGATTTTATGTAACAAAGACAATATCAATGAATTTTATAACTGATCGGGAAAGAGGAGAGACAAATAATTTGCATTTAAATCGACACAATCTAGAATATCGAGGAACATGAATGAAAATATATAAGAAATGAGTGCAACGTAAAAATATGAAACAATATTAGAGTAGAATTAATTATTTGGTTCCTGGTAGTGTAACAATGTATACAAGAAATAATCCTAAGAAAAGAATTTTAAAATAATTAGAATGATTAAAAACCTTGTTCGAGCATTGGATAAACAGTTTTCAGTTTAAATATATTGAGTTTTGTATACTGTATCAGTGATAAAAAGAACTGACTCCACTTTTTACTTGAAAAAAGCTTTACACAGAAACAATAACTTGTATTTTATACCTACGAGCTTTTTCTTCTTCTAAAAGGAATATACTATCACAGATCAAAAGGAACCAAATAAATCTACCCAAAGTTTGCATTTCCCCCCTAAAAAAACCAAGTAATCCTTTTAACAAGCCAATTCAATCTCGCAACTCCGCGCAAGCAAAATCATAATCCCACCTCGTCGTTTCCATTTCAAGCGAAACGCGAAGCGATAAAATTGCTCCATTAACGAACTGCGCAGCGTAACGTGAATACAAAACGCGGTCGAAATGCGCGGGAAAGTTGCCGGTGCGATGAAAACCCGCGGCGCGTCGATAAGAGCGAAGTATAACGACTGATCCCGAAGAAGAAATATCATCGCGGTTACGATCGTGGAAGGAGTAATCGATCAAACGTCGTTACAATATTTCGTTTAGCTACCGATCGGTCGGTCCTCCGCCGGTCGGACATCAAAGGAGCGGAGAGGAAACGCGTGTGTAGAGGAAGCCAGAGGCCAGACAGGCCTGCGCTCGCCGAAGGAAAGGAGAAGCCCGGGCGGAGTCATGGAAAAGACCACCTCCACCTCGAGGGGGTCACCTTAGAGATGACCAATGCACCGCTCGACTAGAGCCATCAAGGTGCTTTTGGACCCAGAAGTTCCCTCCTCGACAGGGCCCCGGAACGAAGGCGGAGCCTTCTTCGCCCTCGGTCTTACCAGCCTTTCTTTACCTTTCTTTTTCTCAGCCTCCCTTGCTCTACCAACCTCTGTCCGAATCGGCAGCCGAACAGTTCGAACCGAGACCCCGAAGCGAACAGGTCTCACGATCGTTTCAAGTTGCAATCCGGGTAAAAAGCTTCCCCACGTTCGGTTTTCCGTCGTTCGCTGTCAGAAGACACCTCGTTTCTGATCTCACCATCTCACAGTCTCCGGTTCTTTTCTTCTTTCTCGAGGTCATCTCGACGTTCGTTTGTCGTCTAACGTGTGTTTCATGAAACGGTCGATTCGTGTGCAGTGATTGATCAGTTGTAATTACTTTGCTGGTTCTCTACGTCTTTCGTTTTGTGGTGGCTTGGTGATCGAGGATCGTCAAGGACGACGACGATTTACTAGATGGCAGTCAGCACTCTCAACATGGCACCGTATTTCACTGGATACCCTTTTCAAGGTAGGTGTATCATGTCGTTTAGATGTTGAGACGGTTTTAGGGAGAGACTGGAGAGAGATTTGGAACGTGGTTTCTGGTGGAAATTGGCGGTTGGCGAATTTCAATGTCAATTTGGGAAGTGTTGTGCAGGGAGCTGATTGTTTTGCTGTGAAAATGTAGCGTGAAGTGTTTTGTAGCTTTGCCTTTAGTGGGATTAAATAGAGACAGAGTTGGAAAATTGATAAATTTTAGAGTATTGGGTTGGATCGAAGTTGAAGGGGATTTGAAGTAAATTGGGAGAATTGTTTAGGTGTTTGTAAGTACGTGTGGTAGTTTAATTAAACAGCGAAACTTGTGATCTGAGGTTTGTTACAGTGTGTTACGAGATTGAGTAATTTATTGTATTGTATAATACGCGCATAATTTCTTGATGCTGTGCAATATCGAAGTTTCCTTACTTCGCGTGTTACTTTCAATAGAATAGTTTGCAATCGATTAGTGTTAGTTTTATTTCCTGTGTAAGATTGATAATTGGATGAAAAGCAAGTTTTACAAGTATGTTTATGATGATTTTGCGGTGTCATCTTCGATTGAAATACAGCGTCGCTGAACTCACCTGGCTGAAGATTGTCCGACGTCAATGAAAATGCCAAGATTTCTACTTATTTCACCGTAGTACACATTAGCAAAAGTATTTTACAACATTTTATCAAATTTTACGCCAAGAATAAATAGAATAATTTTTTGTTCGGCATCACTCACTTTCAATTCTACAAAATTTTGATTTAAATTAGTAACACCTGCTTGAAAATTTTTATACAAGCTTCCAAGAAATCCTTATTTACATTGCTAAAACTTGATTTTGAAGTCATCAAACATTTTACAATTATCAGGTGCAAAAATTATATTTTGAAAATGTTGTTTTACTTGTTTCTACTTTCTTCATGTGTTACAATTATTTCTGTGCACTGTATTGCACTTATGATGTTAAATATTTGTTAAATAATGGTTTAGCTGTGTTATTAATTTTCTTGGAAAAATCAACTCGATAAAACCAATTGAAAAAGTCACAGAAAAGTTATAGGTACAGGAAGACCAAGCGACGCCTCGTGAAATCTGACGATTTTCAAGCGTTGAACAGTTTCAAAGGCACCAAGCTGCTCAGTTTAATATAAAATAGTGTATATCAATGTGTCAAACACCAGAAATGTCTATTTTTCGACTTATTCGTTTCTACTCGTCGTTTCTGAGATGTTCTCTCAATTTTTTATTCATTTGATAACATAATAACAACAAGAAATGCTAAAAACACTATATAACACACTATATCAATTGCAATTTCATGTAACATCTGATTCAATGCTGAAGTTGTATTTCATTGACATTGTAATTTCTTAGTTAATTTCCTGAGACATAAAAAGTAAAAGTGTCATTTTATAAGTAAACAAAACTACATTCCTTTTAATTTTGCCTAATAAAAAACAGTTTGCAAAGCAGAAGTCTCTGTATAAATTTTAGAATTGATATACCATCCTGTTTACTTTTCCATTAATTTTATGCTAATTAATATTACAACACTGTACCTATAAGTTTCTAGAATTATGTATATAAAAATATAAATGCAATTAACCATCCTAAACGCATAACCAATGTGATGCAACGATTTAACTTTTCATATTGTAATTTACACATACTTATTAAAGGAATTTCAAACTCATCATTAATATTCATGAATGAAATACAATTGTATCTAACAGAATAATGATCAAATCACTATTATGTTATATTATAATATTCCAATCAGAACTGTTTTTTGAGTCTTCAATGATCTAATTAAGATTAATTAAATAGTGTTTTCACATGACAATGATCATTTAAGAGTTCTACTAATATTTGAAGAACGAATTACTTAAAAATATATGAATTCACAATTTAATTCATCAATTAATCAAGAATAATATTATTTTATTCTTCTTGCACTTGTACTTTATTTTTATTTAACTTTTATCTACCGAAATTATTTACTTTTGCATTGCTATAATTTTCCACGTTATTTCAAGCACATTTTAATGAATTTTCGTATTCCAGGCATCAATTTTACTTCTTTATCTCTCTATTTTTACAATAATTCGTGATTTTGCAAATTCTCCTCCACATAAATAGCCAAACCGAATCATTTTTATGGATCACTGTAAACAACTGGTTATTCGAGCGACGAGGAAAACAAATTGCAAACAACAAAACGGGAGTAACATTGGCGTTTTGTACTTCGACGTTGATCTCCATTCGGAGTCTGTTTTACAAAGAATAAAACGAACTTTTACAGTCGATATTAATGGTTTTACGACGCGTTTTGAGTGAATTATCCTCCGCGTGTTAAACACTTCGTTTTTTTTTCCTCCCTCCATTACTTCAGTGACCTTCTTCGAATGCAATTTCATCTTTGCGTTAAGCAAACCGTTTAATTCCAGTTTGCGAAAGCAAGAATTAATTACAATTATAATTGAAATCTGCGGTTTCTGTCTGTGTACCTTTACAACGACGAGAACAAGAAAGTACGTATTCCGTTCTTTTGCTTTGTCCGATAAATATTAAAGGATGCAGATGAGATCTTTCTCAGGTAGTAATGACACTTTTTTCAGTTATTAAACGCTTCTCCGTTTCTTTTGTCTAATAAGTATCCTATAATTACACTTGAGCAATTTTTGTTTCGTTATAATATGCACGAAGCACCCAATTTTGTAATTAGAATTCGTACGATAACAAAAACCTCTAGATTTTCATACGATGAATGTACTTTTGAAATTAAAATTTCTCTGTTACGTTCAATTTTTATGAAATTAGCTTAAAAGTATACGCAAATCTTTGAATTCGATGTTTGAAAAAGCTTGAAAATATCTCGCGGCCCTAAAGTGAATAATTACGCGTCATATCATACGTGGATCGTTTGAATTTTTTCTCAAAAATATGCGATGTCTGATAAACACAGGTATTTCTCAATTAAAGAGACAATTCAGTGGTTGATGCTGCAAAAATCTGTTGAACCACTGCTGTTACTCATTGCACCGACATAATCAACCAGAAATTTGAAGAAGAAAAAACGCTACTAATCAACTATATTTCTACAACTAAGTATCATTAATAAGTCAGTGTATTTATAAATTGTTTAATATGTAAGTAGTTTATTTTTAAATATACGACATATTTCGTATTTCACTCTAATTCTTTGTCTCTCGACAAACGAAGACGATATCCAGGATTCAAATCCACAAATTTACAAAAAGCACCCAAAATTTTTGATAAGAATAAACAAATCTGATCTTCTACAAAAAAGTATAATTAGCATATGTATTTATTTCGACGGTGCATCTATAATATCAATACGTTCCCTTGACTTCCACAATTTCTACGCAAACTAAACTAACATCTTCCTTAAATATCAATTTTTTTTCTTTTAGCTGGTAAATAAAATGCGCTCAATAATTATACCTCTATCAATAGTGAAACATGTCTATAACACTTAAGTCCAAAGTAGTTAAAGATACTATGGTAAGAAGTTATGTTGTCGTGCTAATGTGCTGTTTTTTTTTTTCTCTTCTTTTGCTGGTATATATTGACTTTCAAATTCTTAACTTTATGATCATTTCAAGATCACATTGTAATATGCATGAGCATTGTTCCATTCGAAGGATAACGCTGTGATCGAAAGACTGTACATACGCGTAAGTGGTTCCGTTTAGCAAATCATGCAGCCGCTATTTGAAATATACTGTCGAGTAACTTAGTTTAAAAGCGATACAACCAAGTATATTTTAACAACTCATCTGCTATTTATCACGAAGTATTGTATTACAGGATATGATGATTATTTACGTTCGATCGATAATATTAAGGGCTCTGTAAAGTGTGAATGATTGTTGTAGAGTCCGAATGATTTCCTGTCTAAATTAATTTAAATCATTTGTTTATCTAGAAAATACTTAAAAAATAAAATACATAATCTTTAGAACACTAATTCACTGTACAACTGCTGTACCGAAGTCTCACGTCACAGACATTATAATATGATGATTTAATGGAAATCCACGTTTATGCATAAGGTGACTAAATTAATCTAAGCTACATATTACGAGATTCTGGACTGAATCCTGTTTTTCAGGATCTTAATAATTTTTTAACCACTGTTTAGGTTTGCTTCGCATTCGACAAGTGTCCTAATACTTATGAACGAATATGCGTCTCAAAATCCACACATAAAATGTGGCGAATTATTAATCAAAGCTATCTGCTTACCCAGAAAATACTAAAAGAACACAATCTTTAGAACGCTAGTTTATTATACAACTGACGTCACAGTACGACGATTTACATGAAATCCACGTTTATGCATGAAATGTGCCTATATTGACGAGCTCGCTACCTAACGTGGTTGAAACGAAAACAAAAACACGCGAAACCGTCTTATTGCCGCGCGAATGTCGCTAAAAAAAAAGTCACAGCCGGTGGTGAACACGGAGGATGTCGTCGAGGGGTTAAACATCGTGGTCGTTTGTTCGAGAACGCGTTCTCAAGCGAGAAAAGTTCGACTCTGTGGCAAGTCAGGCCATGCTCGTGGGCGTCGGAACGTGAAAGAGTTAAAACACGTAGCTGGAGCCGTGGGTACCTAATGTCTGATATCGGATAGGCCCCGGGCGACGGCACGTTGATTGAAGCCTTCGCAACTCGGAACTCACACCGAACGTTAAGTACATGCATCCCCTTCGGTACATGCGGATACTCCCACTCAGGTACACGCGACCACCTCTTCCTCCTCACGAACCGGGCTGTTTCCCTTTGGCTTTTCATCCGGCCGCCAGCCTCGCCATCGAGACACGTCCGAGCCGATTGTTTGCGCAATTCGTCATTTATCATACGATTACGAATGCCATTCGAAACAAAACGGAGTTGATCATTGATTCTTGATCTGGCGAAGGCCAGAACGGTTAACGAGCGGTTTGTTTTGGTGCGAGGCTCGCTATGAA